CCTTGAGCTGGTTATTGCTTGCATTTGTGGCTTTGCTGAACATCAATGGATTTGCCTCCACCAATTGTACCAGCTGCATTACTTCTTCTTTCGTCAATAGCATATTCTTTTGCTGCAATGAGTGCACCAAACACGAGTTATTAGTCACATGTATGTTCATGTAAACAAAAAAAAAATCCAATAATCCAAGTATAAAACTTCAGTGAAAGCCACAGAACTTTAAAACTTCAATAGCTTCAATCTAAAGCTAGAAAAGCACAAACTGTAATACTTACTGAGGTCATTTTTATAACAAACAATTCTTTGTTATATTATTTATTTAGTCTTTAATGTACACAATTTTATTATGGCACATTTTTTATTATCACAATTTATTGTAAACAAAATCACCAAACAACAATGTCAAATGTCAATGTTTTAACAAATACGTTCCGTTACAAGCCGTGCACTATTGCAGCCGCAAACATGAAGTTTTCGTTATATTAAACTTAAAAAAATATTGTTTAATATAAAATTAGTGCAAAATATAAGGTTTCGTTAATTAATTCAAAATGTTTGTGATATAATCATGACAAGATGCTTTGAAAACATTATTGTAACTTAGTGGCACTCTGTGGAGCTCTGCATACAATGAAACACACGGGAGGGCTCAGATAGGCACCCTATCTACTGATATCTAGAGATAGCAAAGACACATTTTAGTTATTGGGACGACATCGAAAGATAGATAGATTTTAACTGACTATCGAGGATAGCTATCTATCTTTACCTATGGATTGAATATTGGGAACGGCCGTAAGTCTCCTTACTTGTGAAACCACTTTGGCTTTGACTTTGAAAGCAATTTAAAGTAAAGTTAAATTCAGAACACGAATTTCATTAATGTAGATACTTCATATACTATCTATAAGCTCTTTTATTTTAGGCAATGTAATTATCTACCTATGTCTTTTTTTTATGTATTTGATGGGGCGATGTTTGACCACTATCTCACCTGATGGTAAGCGATGATGCGGTCTACGATGGAGCACGTCGTCCCATAAGCAACCTATTCACTCGGGCCTTGAAGACTCCCAGGTTATACCCTTCAGAAAATACAGACTCTGGCAAAGAATTCCACTCTTTAGCAGTACGCACCACTGCTCTTGTTCTTATAATATCGATTAATTTTGTTATTCGATCAGGAAAGGGTTAGCACAACTAATCGTCAATAACAAATAGATACCTACATAGAACAAGTCATAGATTCATAATTAACTTAACATCGCGCCTTTTATCCCCAATGTTATGTAGGCAGTGGTGTACCACTGCCTACATAACATTAGGGCATAATGTGTACATTATGCCATTGTACAATGTAACACCCACTTTTTACTATTAATGTTATGAGTCCCATGTAATAGGGGGTGAGCCTATTGCTATATACAGGGCACAGTTCCAGACTCCGTGCTACTACTGAGAATTCTTTTAAAACCCCGTAATACTTTGCCCGATCCGGGAATGGAACCCGAGACCGCTCGGCCAACGAGGCAGTCTCTCAGTCATAGATTCAATCAACAACAAATAAAAAGGCATAATCCATAAATACAACGCAATAAAAACATATAAATGCGTTAGATAGCGCGGAGGAAACGGACACATCGACGCCATTACGAGATGACCGAACAAAAACACACAACGGTTATTTGTTAAACGTCTAACTGTAAATATGAAGCTTGCTATAAACTTAACACAAATAATAACTGGCATTCCAACACTATCAGGCCTTAGTACGAGATTCATTTACGTTTAAAGTATTCGAAACGAGTATGCGTTCGGCACTCTGATTGGCCGGCGCCAAATAACCAACCAATCAGAGCACCGAACGCGTAGTTGATACGATTAGTTTATACGTAAATGAAACTCGTACTAAGGAGGCCGTAGCTATTATAACTTTTTTATTAACGCCTCTGTGTTGATGTGGTTGTATCTAGTTGAAGTAGTAGATTCCAGTTACTTGTGTTCGCAGTTATCGTTTAACTTAAACTATTTATTGATAGTTTTCTCTTCAAAGCAATCAGAACAATAACTAACAGTAGTGTAAGTTTAAATATACGGTTGAAATTCTGATCAAACATAGCGTCTTTGTAAGTATAGTGAAGGACATTTTTACGCATTTTAGTGTTGTCCTAGGTCATATTTTTAACCGACTTATAAAGGAAGAGGTAGGTTCTCAATTAGACCGTATATGGTTTTTTTCTAAATAAGAGTTTTATAGAGAGTTTTCTAAAAGTTACGCTGACGCAGATGAATCGAATGCACAGACGGAAAACTAAACTGATTTATTAAGTTACTTAACATGTCTATGTAGATAAATCAGCATTAATATCATCCAGCTAATTAGTATAGCATCACGCCTTTTATCCCCGAAGGGGTAGGCAGAGGTGCACACAGAAGTACCACCCACTTTTCACTATTTATGTTATTAGTCCCATGTAATAGGAGGTGAGCCTATTGCCATATACCGGGCACAATTCCAGACTCCGTGCTACTACTGAGATTTTTTTAAAACCTAGTTATAATTTGCCCGACCCAGGAATGAAAACTTCACTCAGTCATCGAGGCAGTTTAGTTTAAACTGTCAAACACCGTGTGGACACCGGTGTCCGCAACCTATTGTTCTTTAATTGTGTCTATAATGACGGTACCTACTCAAAGGGGTAATACTATCACAAATCATAATAGGAATGTTTTACAAACTGTCTTAATGAATCACCTGTACATTAGCTACCCTAACTATACGTATAGTGGTACGTTAGTATGGCAGCATCTTCATCGCCTCTTTAGCTCAGTGGTAGAGCACTGGTCTCGTAAACCAGGGGTCGTGAGTTCAATCCTCACAGGAGGCATTTGTGTAGCTCCGTTGGATAAGTTTTGTAAACTTTTAAAAGATGATATTGTTGAATTTCAGAAGTAAAATCTAAATAATAAAGAAATCTTTTACATAGTTCAGTTACAGAGTAGCTTTTGTAACTCACAAACCTTTTGAGCAAAGAAAACGTAGTTTTTGATTTTATACCAACAAATATACGTAATTTATGCTGGAATACTGAAACGTTACTCAATTTTAAGTCGTGATTAAATATCGTGCTGTCTCTGTCATTTTACAAAGAATTTGTAGAGACAGAACTATACCTACTTAAGCGCAACTTAAAATTGAGTAGTGTTTCAGTATTCGGGCATTAGACATTTTTAATAACACATCTAACAGTTAGGTCCAATATCTTTGTAGCAATATATTATGTAACAAACAATTGAGGGTTTTATTTTATTTATCAGTAGGAAGAACATAGATACTTGTATGCGTTGGTAGCTAGCTTTTATAGGCAACCCGTCTTTTGTACAAAAGATCCATTTTCAATGGACAATTGGGTAGTAGTAGTCAAATTCAATACTTTTTTCGAACTGTCAAAAACGTCAGTCTTAACGTCGGATTTTTGCGTCAAACAGCATACTTATTTCTTAAAAAATTGCTGGAAAAATAGTACAATGAAGTTGGTCATAAAATAAATTAATTAAAGTGTTTTAATATTTTATTGTATTGAACAATCGAAAAAAAATAATTTTGATTAAGGATTAAGGAAAGTACTCAATTGGTGATGATAAAAATATACTTTTTTTAAAGTTTCTCATAAAACTATATGCAGAACCAATTTATACAATAATTGCAAAGAGAAATTACTTACCGGAAAATTACATAAAGAACAAAAAAACGTGTAACAGGAACAGACTTCTCAAAAGTGCACCCGAGCGAAGCCGGGAGACTTGACTAGTGTAATTAGAATTAGTTATGTTACTATTTACATAAGTGCCTAGGGAATTGTAGTACTTGGTTGGTTAAACACTTGTTTTATGCCTTGAAATATTGAATGATATTAATTGATAGAATATACCTAGAATACCTAGATATTCTAAATAAACAAAGATAATCAACAAAATTATTAAAAAAACTAGCTACTTCCGCGCGGTTTCACACTCTCTGCTCAACTCCTATTTGTCGTAGCGTGATGTATTATAGCCTATAGCCATCCTCGATAAATGCACTATCCAACACAAAATAATTATTCAAATCAGACTTGTAGTTACGGAGATTAGCGCGTTCAAATAAACAAACAAAAAAAGGAAACTCTTCCGCTTTATATTATAGTACGCATAAGATTATAAAGATCTATTAACAAATAGCGTGTTGAAATGTGAAAATAGCCCTCTGTTAATACTGCAGCTTCCTACCTATCTTCAGTTCAGATATTTAAATAAAAATAAACATAATTATTAATATCATAACACGGCTCTGAGTGCTTACTCTTGAAACCAATCTCATTGTCAATGCAATATTAATCCAATAAAATCTCAATACTTATACAATTTGAAAACTATACAACTCCTATCGTAGCTGTTAAAATAGCATTCAGAGTACGAAATATAAAGCCAAACTCAATACCATTTGCCGCGGAGAACCTAACCGGTTACCGGGGCTCCGGCTCGAAGTGCAGGAGTAGGAACGGGGTGGTTTTTAGTCAGTAAGAGTCTGACACTCCCTCCCGCAGTCCCACCTCACCCAGGCGGGAGAAATCATTCGATAATATCCCCACCTTAAAAAAAAAGAAAAACTCAATACCTACCATTTAGTTCATTAAATACCCACGCAATATGGATGCAATGGGCGTTAGTGTTGCAACTGAGTATAAAATTTCACAATACCAATGTCGATCTATCAGAATTGGATTCAAGAGTAAGCCGCCTGTTTACAGAACAAGGAATCTAGTCCCCGAAAAATGAGACCTGCCTAAACCTAATTGTATTTGCTACGAACAACGCAAATGTAGGTAGCATACAATTAGCAAAATGGTAACACTCACATCCAATTATGAATGTAAAATTACCTAATTTGGTGATTTTTAGTGCCCCAGTTGCCAATTGACAACAATATGACATTTTTTTTCTTTTTTCACAGGTACAAGATGCGGGCTCAAATATTTTTCTGTTTCCTATTCTGGGCGTCCGCCCAAGCCTTAGATAGTGCAGATAACAAATTCATGAAGGATTATGCTATGCTAAAGGTAAATAATTGAAAAAAAAGTAAAAAAGAATATTCAATAGTGCAAAAAGAGTTCGCAGTCGGTAGGATTCGAACCTACGCTCCCAGAGGGAATCTGATTTCTAGTCAGACGCCTTAACCGCTCGGCCACGACTGCTCATATGTGAATTGTCGAAATAGCAATACAGATTTGTACTTTAATATATTTGGTGATAGAAATAATAATGTTATGATTTTCATTTAATTTCTAATATCATATTCCGTTTAAAACTGTATAATATAATAACTGTTCATTCATTTTAATGAAAATAATTGCCTAGTCCTAAGTACCTGGGTAAAATGTTTTCAAAGGAAATTACAATTTTTGTTTTAATTCGAGTTTATTTATATTCACAGATCTATGAAAGCTGCTTTGGCACTCATCTTTTGAAACAAATAACCAAAGAACTAAAAGACGCTTACGCAAAATGTTCAACAGCGCCACCTATGAAGGAACCTCTGAACTCACACATACCGCCGTTGTTCTTAAGTAAACTGCCGCCTGGATTCTCTATGGACCCGAACTCGCAAACCATCACAAAACCGCTAGATGGCGCTATACACAATAAAGATGACGAAGGAAATATTCAAGATCAAGGACCTACACCACAAAAACAAACAATGGGTGGTGTATTAACTTTCAGGCCACATGGGGTAAATATTACAAAATATTATGAAAAAAAATATTGAAAAACGTCAAAAAATAAAACAAAATTGAAATCAACAAAAAAGAACGCGATGCCTCCTGTGAGGATTGAACTCACGACCCCTGGTTTACGAGACCAGTGCTCTACCACTGAGCTAAAGAGGCGATGATGAAGGTCGCGAAATACTCGATCGTTACCCTAGTTGTTATATGTACACATATTTTTTTATTTCTATCAAAGTCTAAATAATCTTTTGCTCTACTGAAGTCATTTTGATTAAAGAAAATAGTACTTGGAACTAAAAATTTTAGTACAAATATTTTAATTCGTAGTTCAGTGATATTAACTTAATTAACTTACGTGTGGTGTGGTATGAATCGACTACCTACTTATTTTTTATAAATAAATTATTAGTATATTTTATTTTATTTGACCATATCTTTTTGAACGTACTTCATAATTATCAAGCTAGTCTCTTGCATTGATAAGAACAAACATGGACAACATACGTACTGATAACACACATTAGGCCGTTGTACCGAACAAATAAATACTTAGTCGATTTTAATTTTATTATAAGAACTCTATTTTTTTTTTACTCTGGATGTACCTACTTCTACTTAGGTATAGATGTACCTATTAGTTTCCATTTTTTTTTTAAACCTTGCCCCATTCTAGGCTTTTCTTATATGTCGTGGGTGCGTTAACAAACATACAAATTCAAATACACAACAAATACAATTTAACGGAAAAAATTACACTAATATTATAAATATGAAAGTTTCTTTGTTTGTATCTTTGTCCGTCAAACACGCTGAAACTACTGAACGGAATTTTGATGAAATTTTGGTATACGACCGGGTTTGGGATAATTTAGATGATAGGATACTTTTTATCCCGATTAAATGCTTCCATGGGATAAAACAGGAATCATATTCTACGCGGACGAAGTTGCGGGCAAAAGCTAATAAATAATATTTTTTTTTAATTAAGATCGTTTTTAACATTACATACTTAGTTGTTTTGACTGCACGGTTGGCGCGGTGGCTGGGCAACTAGCTGCCGCGCAACGTGTCGCGGGTTCGATTCCGGCACGCAACAATTCTTTGTGTGATCCACAGATTTTTGTTCCGGGTTTGGGTGTCATGTGTAGGTACCTCTATGTGAACTTTTAGTAAACGCACCCATGACACAAAACAAAATCCTAAGGTGGAGCATTTTTTAATCAAAACAAAACTTAGTTGTATGCAGTTTCTGTCGATTACCTATTAGATAGTATGCGTTAAAACTAGTAGTAGGTACACTCTTTAACCTTATTTACTTGCAAATTGTAATAATTATAGATTAAACATTTTTTTACTCGGAAAATAAAACCCTGTTGCCAATGAAGATGATGACTGATAACGTTTTAATCAATGTTTTTTTCCAGGGCCCATTCCCGCAACCTCAGTCAGCGATTCCACCCTACGTTGTACCAACACAGTTCCGTCCGTACAGCGCTAACCCTTACTATCAGATGCCCTACAATGCACCTGTGTTCTACCCTCCGAACTTGCCCTACAACCCTTATTTTGCACAACAACAGTACCAGCAACCCTTCTTTCAACAACAACAACCCTTCTTTGGGAATAGTCGGATGTCGGTAAGTGACGTTGTCTTTGGGATTTTTATATTTACTTATTTAGATACATCTATATTGTACCTTTTTTTTGATGACGCGGGGAAACCTTCAAAAGGCACCCAGCCTTTTTGGGGATAAAAGACTAGGGAGTGTGGGATTTTTACCTCACTAAAACCACCCCGGTGGCCACCCTCAACACCTGAATGGAGGCACCGGATCCTCTAAAACAGACCTGCTCCGGCGCCTCCACGGTGTAACGCCTGTTACGATTACGACACATCCCATCTATAATGTACCTAACATGGCATAACTAGTACCTACCTATTTTTTTTATTTAAGACACCACACTATATTAACAACATTGTGTTAATGCGTTTTAAGCTGAAGCTCCATGTAAGGGGCGATCACATTACCATACAATGAATTTGGAAGATTAAAAATTCAATAACGATTAACATATCTTAGTAACCTCTAGCAGCTTTTTGTTGCCTGGCTAACCTAATTGTTGCCTACTTTTGTTTTAATCAGTCCTGTTCTATCTAAGATTAACGTAAATAATATTTCTTCACCAAAATGTCCTCAGCGCCACCTCGGTCTCCGCGCCCGCCTCGGTATGAGCGCCCGTGCACAAGCCAGTCAGAACGTGACCTGTGTGATGCAAGAACTGGGCTACATCGACAGCAATATGGAGCCCAACTACGAACAGATCACACAGAGGATCAGCAACCTGCCCGTCTCCAGTGAGCTGAAGAACGACATACAGGAGGGACTGCAGTTCTGTCAGAAGTTTTCGGTGAGTCTGCTAACTCCTAAGGAATCACTTAGAAAGAGAAGTAACGCTTATTCTTCGTCAGAGTACCAATCCCGTCTTTTGATTGCGCCGTAATTTCAGGAAGCCTTCCTCCAGGTAAATTATGGTACAATAATTAAACTGTAGCCTACAAAGTTGGTCACGCATTTGTATATATACATACTTCTGCTGTTGAAGGTGTCCTGCTAAGGCTACGGTGACCCCTCACTTACCATCAGGCGGCGAGCTGTGAGCTTCGATACTCCCAAATGTAGTCCAAAAAAAACTTGCGTAGTATCCTGATATCTACAATCGCAATGTCTTCTAAAGCGTTCTTTTGTTTCAGCAATGTGTGCCAGAAGACAAGCGTGACATAGTTCCACGTCCCCAGGAGCAGATCAGAGCCATCTTCTTCTTCCGTTGCTACAAGGTAACAAACATGAGAGAGCTGCAAGGGTTTTTTTTTTTTTAAGGGGGGAAAATCATCGAATGACTGCTCCCGCCTGGGTGAGGCGGAAGGGAGTGTCAGACTCTTACTGACTAAAAACCACCCCGTTCCTTCTCCTGCACGTCGAGCCGAAGCCCCGGTTACCCGTTAGGTTCTCCGCGACAGCTGCAAGGGTTACAGCTCTCTTCTCTGAGGTGAAAGGAAGAATCGTGAAATCATCATTGAATAAAAACAGCTGCCAGCCTCGTTGGCCGAGTGGTCGCAAGTGCGACTGCCGGGCAAGGGGTCTCGGGTCTGATTCCCGGGTCGAGCAAAGTACTAGTGGGTTTTTAAAAAAAAAATCTCAGGGGTAGCACGGAGTCTGGAATTGTGCCCGGTATATGGCAATAGGCTCAGCCTCTATTTCATGGGACTCATAACATAAATAGTGAAAAGTGGGTGTTGCATGGTACAGTGATGATGATAAAAACAGCGTACCCATTATATTTATAATTTTGTTTGTGTTTTCAGCACAAGAAGTTGGAGGCGTGCATCATGAAGGACATCAATGAGCATTTCAACAAGGAGTACATGTTCGACTCCGACACTGATTTTGCGTAAGTTGCAACCAGTCTATACGTTATTTAGATCCAAAAGATTTTATGAAAGAGAGCGCTATGATTTGACTCAACCAGTACTAACTGGTTGAGTCAAATCATAGCTATAGCAATGAACTATCATTGCATGTCAAAATACTAGAAGTATATCTTGACTGCCTCGTTATTCGAGACTCTTTTTGCATTTATTGTAGTTGTAATAATAATGAAATTGCATTTAACTGTTAACAATACCTACAATATAATTTATAATATGCTGAAGTCTTTGTTTGGCCAGCCAACTTCCGAAAAACAGTAAAAAAAATCTTTACACCTTCCTCGTCAAATAGTTACGTTAATAAGCCGAAAATATAATCATTATTTTTATTTTATTTTAAAAGACTTCATGCACATACTAATGTACAAGGTGGGCTTAATGCCTAGGGCATTCTCCTCCAGCCAGACCTTTGGGTGATGCAGAGACAAAAACAATGGTCGATGCAAGAAGCAAGCGTATTTAAGACACTACAGAAATGCATAAAAAAGGATAGTATAGACTTACATAAAATAAATCCCTATATAAACTTACATGTATATGACATAACAATAAAGTTACATAACTATATTACATATACTACTTAGACGTAACATAACTATACATAGTAGGTATATTGATAGTTACGACTCTGCCAATCTCTTAAATTTAAATAATTAGTTTAAAAATAAGTTGAAAACCATATTAGCGCGTATTTTTTTTAAACTTTGCCTAGGTCTAAGTTTTTCTCCTATGTCCTGGATGCGTTTACAAACATAGTACATACAAGTTCACATACACATGACACCCAGACCCGAAACAACAATTCGTGGATCACACAAAGAGTTGAAACGAACCCACGACACGTTGCGCGGCAGCCAGTTGCCCAGCCACTGCACCAACCGTGCCGTTAAAACAGAATAAAAACTTACTTAAGTTTAAATTGTTACCAATTAACCAAATAAATGACTTGTTCCCCCACAGCCTCTCCCGATCAGCTCGCTCAATCCGCGACGTTCCTCTTCGTGACCCAAGCATCGAAGCTTTAGAGGAAATGGAGGTATACCTGTATGACTACCTCAGTGGAGGTAGCGGGTTCGATTTCGACCTGTACATTTAAACTGAGCCTTTAGTACGTAGATTTAGTTCAGTCATTCTTTAGTTCTTATGTGACGTCATAACAGTGTAAGGTTTAATGATAAGTAATTATAGAGTTTAATTTTTAAGTTTCTTTTTAAAATTTTAGTTTTGGAACTGTTTTTTTTATATCTGAAGATAATGGCTCAACGTGTTTTTTAGAAATATATAGCCTATAGGCGTAGGTGACATATTGTATCTAATAAAAAACAAAAAATAATACTCTTTATAATAGTAGATAATAATTATGATATGCTACTAATCTATTCTACGAATACTCAATACCTCTCTACGAATTTTGAATTTCAATTTCAAGTTTTTTGAACTCTATAATAAATTAATTGAGGTATACGAATACTTATAATTAGAATTAATTAAAAATAATTCAGCTAAAGGTATAAGAATGAAGAATTTTGGTGCTCAATAATACTCATAAATTATAATGTTTTTCTACTTTTAATTTAAATATAAACTTTTAATTATAAATATAAGTTTATAAAAGAATGCTCAAAGTATGGTTGCCAATAAATACGTACTTTATTTTATATACATTTTATATCTTAAGAAAAAGACTACATTTTTTATTAATATTTATCATTTCACAAAATAATTCGCCATCAGACGCATTTAATATTTATTTTAATCATAAATTTGAATAGTTTTAAGATTTTATACAATATCTTTGGCGTAGGGAACATTGGGGTGTTTGCTACTATCTTAATAGAAAAAAAAACAAATGAAAAACTCAAAAAGCTTAGCGGTCACCGGTGACCGCTCTCCACTAACTACATTATAGACCTTATCTCCAATGTTTAGAGACTACTTTTGTATGAACAAATTTAGGGCATGATTTTTAACAATTTTCAACAAGTATTTTGATTCAATTTCATAATGACCAATCAATTGCCACAAATGTACAGTCGCCAGCAGATCACATTACTTCAATCTGTCAATTTTATTCATTGAATTTTCTACTTTATAACAATTAAATAAAGTTGAAAATGTAATGTAATGAAAAGTGTAACTTGACCTGCTGGCGACCGTATAGTCAACATAATTGGACTTCAATTACTGTATAAGTACCCTATAATAGAGAAATAGACTGTTTATTATTTTTTTTTAAATAGCATTATTATTTTGGTAGCAAACTTAATGTTCTTGTCACTAAGGCTTGCTAGACCACGCCTTTTTGATGATGACTTAATGTAGGTATAAGGTAAAAATAAAAAAAAATAACTGTCATTTAAATTTTTTTGTCGTCCGTGTTTTTTTTTATTTCACTCGCAAAGGAATGATGCATTTACTAGTTTTTAAGGTTTTTTGTTAATTAAGATTCATTTAATTTAAGTTAGTTTTAGCATTTGTAATGTATAATGAAAACGACAACTGATTAAATAAAGGATAATAATAATTGTTTCATTGTTTCCTATTACAGTGTAAAATGTTAACGAGTATACCCAAAATCATAATATTACTGGCCAAAATAATCTAATAATTGTGACGTCCATCCTAACGATATCAATTTTTTTTGTAGATTAAAAAATAATTCAATAGGCATTGAAAACGCATAATAAAGACATCAAAATATGTAGCATTTAAAAATTGACAAATACTAACAACTGTCATTTTTTCTTCATCACGTAACGTCAGATACGGCCAGTTATGAACTGACGGACAGAAAGAATAGATTATAAATATTTTATGTAGCTACCGAAAGGTCGCGCGTGCTCCACAGATTATAAAAGGGCATGCAAAGGTGACTGTCTATCAAATATCGAGTAGACATGCACAACAATAATTTTCTTGTCAGCGCCATGTCAATTCTGTAAAATTGCCTTTTAATTTTCAATTCTTTGATTCGTGTTAATTTTTTTATTAGGGCTATAAATAGTATTCTTCGCCCTTTACGTTATTTTGAAGCTTTATGGTTTCGTGTTATTTGTATGGATATGAAGATTAACTGTATTTTCTAAACTGTTAGTTATTCTATTTATATTATATAGTAAGAAGTTCTTATTATAGAATACTGGGTAAATGAGTAGACATACCTATTGTCTAACCGCAACACCTGAAGTTACAGGACTCGTATCAGTTCGGGAATACCACAAGCGATAGTGGAGATGTAGATGGAGTTTCTTGCTCGTTCTTCTCCATTTGAATCTACATTTTGGAATGAGCACCTAACTTCACCTAGCTTCACTGACGGACTGACTGACAGACTATTATTTATTTTGTATTTGCTGTCGTTTCAAAAGTATCAAATTATGGTTTAATTGAAATAAATACTTTGACTTTGACTTTGATTTCACAGCTTTGTCGTGTTTCGCGAAACATCTTTTCGCGCACAGCTATTCTGGATGACGGACATAATTTTAGACCATAATGGGAATGCTGCAACGATCTGTCCAAACAATTCGCTAATTCGCTCCCCATAGTATGTTTCTACGGGCGATAGAAAACGCATAATTAGAAAAAAAAAACGTCAACTCATATAATAAAATTAGAAGTTGTTTGAAAGCTAAATAACTGTAGTTTTGTAACAATAAATTCACTACTTATAGAGGAAAGTAGGTGTCTGTCTGTCGGGTTATATTTATTTATAATTTGTTATTTCTGTTGGATTTATTTAGGTAGCCAGACTACCTATATACGACAATAACATTATGATATATCTACGCAGGTAAAATATGAACCACATACTTACCTAAATATATAGGTAAGTAAGTACTGTTTGACAGATGTCATACGCAAAAATTTGAAATCGGAAAAAACACGCATCTGTTTGTGAAATCTAAAACCCTTTTGTGGTAACAATTCGTTTCGGAGAAAGGTCCCATGGCGAAAACTAACCAAATACCGAATATTTTTTTGCTAATAACGTCCTTGATGTATATATAAAAAAGTAGCATTATGTTTGTTTGTCCGTGAACGGATTCTTGACGAAAACTTTCACCGGGACTCCATTGTGGGGTGCTCGAGTTTTACTTATTAAAAAAAGTTTTTACCTGTTCTCAATTTAAAAGAGGTTGGTGGGAATATAGAGCAAATAAAAAAAATAAAAGAAAAACATCGCAAAACGAGTTCCCTACCTAACTAACCTACTTTGTTTTGCAAAGTTACCTTTAACATATTTTAGGCACAATAAACAGAGAATTACTTAACGTGATTTATCCTCATTTTAAATACTGACTATAAATAGGGAATAATTGGCTAAATAATATAATGCATTGTTTTGTCATTTCAATTCTGTTGTTATGCCAATCATAATTATGTGGTTTTAAAATAGATTAATTCGCGGAATACAATATGTAAAGGAATTTACCAGAATACAGTTTGTATAGGTGGGAAGTTCATCTAATCGTACAGGTAGTAACTTATTAATATGACCTTGTAGCTTGATGAACGGTTGTCTTTTTATGGCATAAGCTGGTAAACGAGCAGACGGATCACCTAATACAAGCATACAAGTTAATGGGTCTACAATCCTATACAATAATAAAAGTCAGTTTTCAAGCCACAACTACAATAATTAGTAGTTCCGAAAAATACTGAGTTGGAGTCGAACCCAGCGTCACAGTAAAGTAAATAGTTTTTATTATATGATAAGCCGGTAAATGAGTAGACAGATCACCTGATGGGAAGCAATCGACGTCGAACATGGACACCCGAAACACCAGAGGCGTTACAAGTGCATTACCAGCCTTTTGGAGATTAGGAATTTGAGGATTTTTGGAGATTCAGAAATTTGGGAGAGGGGTAATTGGGCCTTCGGTAACTTCTCTCACATGACGAAACACAACGGAAGCGTTGTTTCACGTCGGTTTTCTGTGAGGCCGTGGTATCACTCCGGTCGAGCCGGCCCATTCAGTTCAGTGCCAAATTTGATTGTTGAACGAAGTAATTCTTGACAATTTGTTGATCACAATCAACAAACTGTCGTTCATACTAGGTGTGTTATATATTTTTTCAGTTTTAAAATCCAAAAAGCAAAAAAGCAAAAAGCACTACCGTACTCCAATATAATGTATACAATACCTATAGATAGCATATCACTTAAATCTAGATCAAACAAAGAAGCGGGACTTTCTTTTAACTTTTTTCTAAAAAAAGGCAAAAGTCAAAGTATAAAGAAGACTACTTTAACAGTTTAACAGGCCGAGTTTAAACCATTATCTACTTCCTCAGTAGACTCAATTCTTCATTTGTTTTATTGCAGAATTCAACAATAACATTGTTATCGCAGTCGGCGGCAAAACAATAATTGAACTGATTTATTGACAGTTAAAACTGAACCTTTTCTATTCCCAGTTACTTTCTACGGAACAGTCATTTTGTTTCGCCAAAAATAGAGTAAAAGTTGAAAGAAATTCAATGATTCAACTGTTTTGTAATTGTAAAGAGTTATTGGTTATTTGTTGTATAAAACAATAGGGTACAAGTACCGTTATGTGTTAATGGTCTTCAATGCTTTTTTGCCAATCGTAGGTACCATCTAAATATGCTATTGTCGTTTGCAAAAAAATACAACACACTATTGCCTAATAACCTGTTTTTAATACATGTTTAGTCTGGGCAAGACTTACAATGGTAACTTGAACTAATTTGACGTCAATCTTGTTTCATTGTTGAATATACAAAGTCAAGTACAAGTTTGCCGTTGTGTAACGTTAATTTGTAGAAATAGTTGGATATTTCAAAATCAAAGTATTTATTTGAATAGGTACATTCTTGATTAGGCATTTTTGAAACGTCAAATTGAATTGTTAGTGAAGCTAGGCGCTCATTCCAAAATGTAGTTTCGAATAAAGAAGACTCCATATTACACTTTAAAAATATATCCTTACTAATATTATAAATCGGAAAGTGAGTTTGTTTGTTCCGCTTTCACGCCGTAGCTACTAAACCGATTGCTTTGAATTTTTGCAGACGTAAAGTCAGAAGTCCAGATTAAATAATAGAGTACTTTTTATTCCGGAAAATTTT